TTTATGCTTTCATTTAATTTGGAAAATTTTCACCTACTGTTTCTCAAAATATATTTTCTGCCCTTTTTCCCTTTGCTGTATAGACTGTATTCATGTGTATCAAGACACTTAAAGTTGTTTCACATCTCAGTGATACTCTGTTGATTATTATTTTTTACTTTTCTTTGCATTTCATGTTGAATTTTCTCTATTGCTATGACTTCAGGTTGACAATAATTTTCCATTAATCCCATTCAGTATACATTTTAATCTCAGAAATTGTGGTCTTTGTCTCTAGTAGTTCTGTTTGTTTCATTTAAGTATATATTTTCTCAGTCTCGACTTAACTTTTAATAAATGGAATATGATTATAATAATTTTTCAAGGTGACCTTGTCTATTAACTCCATCCTCTGTGTCATTTCTGGATAGGTTTACATAGATTTTTCTCTCTAATATGGGTCATATTTTTCTGTTTCTTTGCATGCCTAGTAATTTTTTCATTTAATGTTGAACATTGTGATTTTATCTTGTTGAATGCTGTGTATTTTTTAATCTTTTTTTTTTTGTGGCAAGGTTTCACTCTTGTTGCCCAGGCTGGAGTGCAATGGTGTGATCTCAGCTCACTGCAACCTCTGGCTCTCCGCCTCCTGGGTTCAAGCAATTCTCCTGCCTTAGCCCCCTGATTAGTTGGGATTACAGGCATGTGCCACCACACCCAGCTAATTTTTGTATTTTTTAGTAGAGATGGGGTTTCACCATGTTGGCCAGGCTGGTCTTGAAATCCTGACCTCAGGTGATTCACCTGCCTCAGCCTCCCAAGTGCTGGGATTATAGGCATGAGCCACCATGCCCAGCCTGTATTTTCTTAATTTTAAAAATACTTTTTAGCTTTGTTTTGGAACACAGTTAAATTACTTGAAAACTGTTTGTTTTTTTCAGTTCTCGCTGGTTATTTTTTTTTAGGTAAGTCTGGAGCAATGCTCAGTCTAGGACCAACTTTTCCCCTTTACTGGGGCAAGACCCTTCTGTGTACTTTTGTGTAACATTCCATGAATCCTAGATTTTGCTATTCTGGCTAGTGGGAATATGTCCTATTTCTGAGCCCATGTGAATGTCAACCAGTGTTAACTCTAATTTTTTCAGGTTGTTCTTTCTTTGGCCTCAGATAATTTCGTTGCATGAGTGAGATGATCAGTATTCTGATGAATGCTCAAGAAGGACCGTCTGCAGATCTCTAGAGTTCATTCTCTCTCTCCCCCTCTGTGTGTGTGCGTGTGTGTGTGTGTGCGTGTGTGTGTGTGAAGTTCTCTCCTCTCTGATTCCTTATCCCATGAATTCTAGCCACCTTCATTTCCTTGGACCCTGAGCTCCATCTCCTCAATTTAGGAAGTCTACTTGGTTTTCCCCACTCTACCCCATGGCCTGAAATTGCTCTCAAATCAGTAAGCCAATGCAATTGTAAGGTTCACCAAGTTTGTTTCTCATCTCATAGAGTTCCTTGTTTTTTATAGCCTGATTCCAGTGTATTTTCAAAAAAAAAAAAAAAAACCCTTGTTTCATATTTTGGGCGTTTTGGGGATTGTTCAGGTGGGATGGTAAACCTGATTTATCTTGGCCAGAATCGAAAGTCTTCCTAAAGTTATTTAGTCCTCATTACTTCCAATGCCTTGATGCCAGGGCAGGGGATATATTCACTACAACAGCAGGTCAAAATTATTCAAGAAGATTTTGTTTACTATGTAGCACATGGGTTTTCAGTGTAGGGTCATCTGGTGTGTCTCTTGCAATATGAATATTTGTATTAAAATTTCCTAGCCTTTTGTCTCAGTTGTGTCTCAGTTTTCTCTCAACTGGAATTTCAGTTAACATGTGTTTCTCTTTAATTCTAGCAGGATGGCATTTTACTTTTCCTATCATAAGTGAGGAAAGTGGAAAATGGTTTTAAAATCTAGGAATTCACAGAAAGAAATACTATGAACACCATGTGAAATTAAGCCATTTCTTGTTGAGGGTAGGGAGCATCATAACAGGGAGGGAGAGGAGAAAATATTCCTTTTAAATGCTGTATGGCAAACTTTCATTTTCCATGACTATTATGAGTCAAAAAACTGTCATCTAAGAAGAAATCTTTCCACTCATTCCATCCCATTCCCCTACAAGACCTTTTATTAGAACTTTAATAGTTAGGAAAGATGATTGAAATAACGTCTCCAAAGGAGGGAAGTAAATGAACAGAGATATAGCTGAAGACTCATAGGGTTTGGTCTGTACTATATCTAACATTCCTTGCAATTCTAAACCTAATTCCAGAATATCCACTCTATGCAGAGTCAATTATCATTTTCTGAAGTGTTATAGAGTCAAACTAGACCCTTTTAAGACTGAATGTTTTGAGTGTCATTGTCACACACCCACAAAAATACATGGTAGTATTTCAAAAAAGTTTTTTTCAAGTATCTATATCACACATGAGTTTTATCCACTGTAATTAAAGTAACATATTTAGCTACAATTCTAAGCACTAAGTACTACCACCAATACCTCCTGTGTTACCGGGATGAACATAATCTTAATATAAAGGGGGGAAAAACAGAATGAAAAATAAGATTAGAAAGATAGTTCCTAGCTGCTTGTGAGAAAGTTAAAACAACAATAAGAAAAGTCTGGGCATGGATATATTTTAAACGGCCTACATACATTTAATTCCCTGAAAATGATGCAGAAAATCCAAAGATGTTGAAAACCTTCTTGGGGATTACAAGTGTGGAAATACAGAATGAATTGCAAGCCTCACATTTTTTTCTGCAGATATTTAAGAATCTGTTTTCCATTTCAATATTTCCTTGCTCCTTTTGTTATTGACATGCTAATTCAGTTTATTGCCAGTGAAATAGAAGACCCTATAATAGATATTCTGAGATTGAAAAGTCAAGGAGGGTATTGCTTCTAGTTCAATTCTATGGACCTGAAAGTTCAATATTAAGTAAAACGAGTGGTCTCCTCCTAAATTCTCAGGACTTTATTCTAAATAAGCTTTCCCTATTTACATAGCATGGCAGTGATGTTGCTGACAAATTCCAATGTAGCATGCAACAGTGATTCCTAATTGCTTTAGCATTTATCATGCACAAGAGACAGGAGGGAAGTTGTCTCATTTTGTACAGCTCAGTTGCATTTCTTATCTCTGAAGTACATTTAAGCAGCAAACTGGGACTTATGGTAGCTGCCTGAAAACCAGCATCCATTAACATGCATATCTTGGAGGGAAAATGAATTGGTTTTTCTAAAGCAGAATACAGTTCCACCTCATTCTGTGCATTAATTTTACATAATTTCTCTTTTTCGCTTTTTATAAATTAAGGGCCATGATCTGACTTACCCATCCAAATTCTCATGCTCACGTTTTCCAGGTTGTGCTTTTTGTCTGTTTTGTTTTCAAAAGGTTTTTATTTTATTTTTTCTTTTTTTCCCACACTATACTGATGTAAGTTTTCAAAACATTTTGAATAAGTATTTTGGTGCATTTCCAAGATGCCCTTTAGCACCTGGTAATATTCTTCCAAGCAGTCATGGGAGGTGCTTAACTACTATGCACTTAGGCATCTTTTACCCAAGAAGTCTTCTGAACAGGTTTTATGTTCTAAAGAAACAGTACCCCTTCATATTTTACAGCAAACATTTGGTTACTATACATGAGTCTAGGAGAGTGGGGAAGCTGAAGTTCTGCTTATGCACTCTTGAATGTCATCCTTCCTGCCAGTAAGTTCTGATGATTTGTCTAAGTAGCCACAGACTATGCCTACTGTTCCAGGAATTCAAGTCCTATTAAGATGTAAACCCTCAAAGGTGTATACAAAGATCAGATGGACTGAGAGGCACAGGTGTGCCTATTTGTCTTTGAGGAACTGTTTGGATGAATAAAATATATTTGGACTATGCCCTGACAAATATTGATTGCCCCCTTGAAGTGAGAATTAAAGTTTACATATATACATATGTATATATAGGTGTGTAAATATACATGATCCTAAAATGGTCACTGTTGTAGACAGTTTCTGACAGTTTCTAATAATAAAGTCAGTGTAATTACACCTTGATATTGTGATGTAGATATTGTTTTACAAAATCCTCCCTAGGTGCATCAAGTGAAGTCAAACTGTACAATCAACTTAATTGTCTGTATATAGACAATCCAAGTAGCTTGTAGATTTTGCACACCATCTGTGACTTGCTTTCTTATCCTGTGGCCCATGTGATCCCACAGATGCCTTCTTTGTACAGGGACTGGTCTGTAAGTCTTTTTTTTTTTAAATTGTACTTTAAGTTCTGGGGTACATGTGCAGATCTTACAGGATTGTTGCATAGGTACGGTCTCTAAGTCTTATCGATTCTTGCTGACTTCTGCATGGCAAGGGTTATTTGGTAAAGAAGGAATTGGTGGGTGGGGGGCAATTATTTTTCTAGAGTTCTTTTAAACTTTTGGTTTCCAATAAGGCAGGCATTATAATTTGCTAATAAATTATTGATATTCAATCCATCTATCCTTCTATATTCCATCAATGCAAGCATACTTTCTTGTCTGTCATAAGCGTATTTTATATGTACTCACAGTTGCTTTCCTAGTGGTTAAAAAGAAAATGAAAAGAGAGTCATTTAAAGGGCAAGAGTAAGTGGCAAGGGAAGGAGACAGAAAAAAAAAGTAAATGGTCACCTCAACTTCCTTGAGTAGTTGCTCCAGTGTAGGATTCACTCATTATCCATGGTCCGCATGAAAATTTAGGTAAGGCATTTTATAAATTGTTCTACACTAGTAGCACCACCACATTTGAAGAATCAAGAGTTGACTTTATTCACTCTATTGAGAAGCCTCATGTTTCTAGGCAAAGTACCTTTAGTCCAAACCCTAAAATACCCCATTTCATTCAAAAAAATGCAGTCAGTCCTACTACAAAGCAGGAAAATATATTTATAATGGAGTAGAGACAATACTATTAAGAAAAAAATTAATCTCCACAGAAATAACTTACATGAACACATTTATTGCGAGTAGCTCTATGGAAAGGCAAGTCAGATATATATAGATATACATATATATATAAACACTATACAGAGTTGCAAAGTTGTCTCCCAAAACTGCAAACGAGATGTTTACAAAGAAAAGAAAGTACAAGAGTATTTACAAAGGAAGACAAAGCCAAAGCAACTCAAAGCAGATCTCTGAAGCAGAAATAGCAAATGTAATTAGCTGGTGGAACTGTGAAGTTTCACTTTTTAACAACTAAGTGATTACACCTGATACCGAATTAAATGCAGCGGTCACACACACAAAAAAATCATTCCATCATCGTTTTTTCTTAACAGCAGCATGAACTGATAGCTGGAAGGTAAGTGATATGCTGGTACACATAGTCCATAAAGATTCTTCCAGTACAATACTGAATAAATTAATTGTCTGTAAACTAAGAAATAATGTGAAAAAGATTGCTTGTTATGCAGTACTTGTGACTATTTGTACCTGTTACTACTTGTATAATGTGTACTGTTATGTATGAGGCTTCTCGTTCATTTATTCAGCAACTGTTACATCTGTGCTTTATACCCTCTGTACCCTGTCTGCTGGCAGCTTCTGAAGCTAATATGCAAATAAAGTGATATAGTATTTTCCCCCAAGTAATCTTTTTTCTCACAATTCTAAACAATTATTACTTAACTTGAAAATAAAATGGTGACAGAAGGCTTGAAAAAAGGCTGCCCAAAGAGCACATTTTTATCACAACGAACAAAAGCCACACTGCATTATTTGATTAGGTTGAAAAAAGAGAAGAGTCTGAAGGAACTTATGAAGTTGATGTCCTAGCAGTGACTAGTTACTGTAACAATGCCTGATCCTGTAGCCACATCCTCTCCTCAGCATCATTTACAAGGGGAAAGAAAAGGCCCCCATCCCTTTGGTTGGTAGGCAAGGAAAAATAGAAGTCAACTCAGTTGTTTGGAGAAGTTAGTTTAGCAACATGTACTATAAGCTTGCTTGAAGATAGAAGTACACGTTCAAATACATCAAAACCAAGTGGTGAAAAACTTCAGATAAATATTACACTACTTCAAAGTTGCACATTAAATGCGAAGCAAGTTTCTTTTTAACACAGTTACACACAACAGGTACATCTACAATCACATGTACACAGGTACACAAAAGTGTGCATACACACAAATATGCACACATACAACTAGTGCTCACACACAGACACTCAAACACTCACACTCATCTGTGATATGATGAGGTTTGCCAGTGATGGTACAGCAAGCCAAGATTTGTGTGCCACCACGGAACAAAGCTCTAAGCAAGCTTCAAGACCTTTGTACCTATTCTCTGTGGTCACCACCTTGTTAGTGTCATGTACTCAAAGGTCTAGGCTCCTAACATCTTAATTCAGTTTCAATCAGAGGCAAGCAAAAATGGGGGAGGGGGGGAGGAAGGAGAGCTTGCTCTGATTGTTTTTTTTTTTTTTTTAAATTTGGTACATCTTACATTGGCTCAATATCCCGAAGGAAACAAAGCCTTATAAGAGGTTCCTTTTGGCTTAAGTTTTCATCAAACTATTAATTGATAAGTAAACACTGATTTATTGAATATGGGAAACTGATCTCTTTATAGTAGCCCTGGACATAGGAGGGAGAGTGTGCATTGGGGAGAGGGCCGGAAAAAGGAGAAGAATAGAGGTTGAAACTGGAGAGAGGGCCGGAGAAGCAGAGAGGGGCCGTGGGAAGAGACTTTTGAAGAGCCTTGCTTCTCTTAGGAGGTAAATGTAGGTTTCACAATAAATTAAAAATAATAGGTTTGAAAATACTCAATTGATTTGCAGGCAGAAGGTCATAGTGTTGTATGTGAACAAATAGATAAGCCATTTCTCAGTTCTGCCTTTAAAATGCTGGAAATGCTCAATCAAGATATAAGTTTCATTGACATTTAACATGAGCAGAATGTTAGTTTTGCTAATGAGCAAAATCTGAAATAATCTGCCCTTTAGTCCTGCCTTTAAAATATTGGTAATGTCCCATCAAGATATCAGTTCAGTTGACATTTAATTCATTGATCAAGAAATGTTTTGTGTGTGTAATACTCAGAAAAAAGATTCCAGATCATACCTACCTTCCCATTGACAGCTTTTTTTCTTTATGCGCCCTAGTTTAAAGGTTTTTCAACTTCAAAATTGAATCTAAATATTTTACATCATTAAAATTGGCATTGACCGCATTTATATATATTGTAATTAACATTTTTAAGAGAGGGAAAGAGCTATCAGATGCTCATTTCTATAGTATCTGTTTCTGTTCAAAGGGAAAGATCGGGGAGAATACCAGAAAACAAAACCAGTGTTTTGCACAGTGTAAATTTGTTAATTAGAAATCACTGGATCCATAAGCAGTAGGATGAATGATCTGCATGAATAGGATCATTCAATTGCCAGAGTCCACTTGTAGGCTTGTAGGAATTTAGGTTGCTTTCTACTCAGAAGACTGAATTTTCTTTCCTGTAGGCAGATCTGGAGTAGATGAAGATAAAATTCCATAAGTATCACTTTTCTTCTAAAATGTGTTTTCGTGTCAATATAATCACTCTAGAAAAAAGATGATAAAACAAAAGTTACTTGAAGAATTAATGTGGAGAGCTTTCACCCCCACCCTGGTTTAAAACAAAAGAACAAAACACAAAACAAAATCTAACTAGAAGTTTTTGAGAGCTATATAGAGGAGACTGCCTGGGCATTGACAGAGTTAATCAACTCTGCTGGCTGCCTGTGAGGAATATCGGCTGGGCAAGGAAATAAGGGCAGTTATTCCTTTGGCCCCCACGCTGCCACTCTGACATTTCTGGTGGACAGCATCTTTACACATGTGTGCACTGTTCTACTTTCTTCCAGTGGAGCCCACAAGTGAGCCAGGCATTGTGCAGAGAAACAGATTTTTTTCTTCTTCTTCTTCTTCTACATGTGTGACTATGCCTTCACCAGGTTATGTAGCACAAGTCATAGGATTTAAGTACAGCCTTGGTGATGGTCTCTAGACTCAATCATTGAATTTCTTCTAATAGAACAAAGTCATACCTGCCAAGGAGACTTTAAATTCCCATCTGTTTAATAAAAGAAAAAAGTTCCAGCATTATTCTCTTGGCTTTCTGCTTTTGAGAGGGTGCGTAATGGGGAGTGTGGCAGGAGGTGTGGATCAGATACAAAGAAGGTGCTGGACCAGAGAAGGGATAAGGATAAATGATCAGCAAATTGATGATGGGATGCCAGTATTACCTTAAGATCAGGTCACCTCAAAGTACCAAGTATTCTATTTTATTTGAGACATCCTAAAAGAATCCATGGAAAACATCTTCCAGAGTGGGCTTAAAGTACAAGATTGTGTATTAAACTGGAAATACATATTTTAAGTATTAATTTTCTCATCAAAAGTTTTACAATTTTTTTTTTTTTAGAGATGAGGTCTCACTATCCTGACTTCTTACCCAGGCTGAAGTGCCGTGGCATGATCATGGCTCACTGCAGCCCCACCCAAACTCCTGGGTTCAAGGGCTTTAAAAATGTAACAAATTTGCAGCTGGATAAAGCACTGAGTGGGAAAAGTACATTCCTCTCTTACTACTTGTGTCTATTCATTAAGATTCAATGCATAGGTTTGTTCCTACAGATTAAAGGGTTAAAAAAATGCCAGGCATAATGGCTCATGCCTATAATCCCAGCACTTTGGGAGGCCAAGGCAGGTGGATCCCTTGAGGCCAGGAGTTCAAGAACAGCATGGGCAACATGGTAAAATCCTGTTGTGCCACTGCACTCTAGCCTGAGTGACAGTAAAACCCTGTCTCAAAAAAAATACCCTAGATTAGTAAAGATATTAAGCTTTCCTGTCAACAGTGGGTTTAGAAATTTTACATTTTATGTATCTAGTTGTACACAGGAAGAAAGGAGTCTGTGACAACCACAGTTAACTGTGAGAGTGCATATTAGTAACTGTTACTTGCTGGAAAATTAGGCCAGACTAGTATTACAGAATGTTATCAGATATCAGCTACATTTTAAAAGATATTTAAGGTTAGAAAGGTATTTCACCCAGTTTAGTTTACTATTTGGTTTTAGTACAAAAATATCTTCATATGTCTATATGTAGCACATTACATGTGCTTTAAAAAGGACTTCTTGCTGTCTTATATGATACACTGGATGTCATATATATATATTTCTCAAAACCTTCAAATTAAGCTCCATATCACTACCCTATTGGCATTATACTAAGATTAGGAACATTTGTTGTTATTGGAGTTTTCTTTCTTCTTTCCTTTTTTTAAATGACAGAGACTCTACTAAAATTTGAATCATATTGCCATTGCTTTCCTAGAACACCTACACCAGCATTAAGTGAATGCTTAATAAATTAATAAAAAGTGACAAATAATTGTGTATTTTCATGTTTACTTCACAAATGTATTTGTCAATTCTTGATTAACGATTTTAGCAGAAAGGAATAATGGTATCCAAAACAGGATAATCTCGAAATAATTTAACTTGCTTTTGAAATGCATTATGGGAACTTGAGACACAGATTTGCTTTTATAATCCTGTTTTACTTAGGCCAATATTAAAATGAGCTTACATTCCCGGAGCACATTCCAAAGAACAGCGTAAGGAAGCAACTCAGAACCTCGCTGGGTGGCAAAGGAAAGCAATTCGAGATTAAAACTTAGCTGTGAAAAGTCTGCAAAATGAATATTAAAGGGCTAACAGTCATACCTTAGATTTGTCTCCCATTCATTTTTATGTGATTTCACCATCAGAAAGGTAAATGGCGATGCTTGTAATAATGTGGTCTGTTTGAGATGTATTATTCCCATTTGATACTGACAGGTTATAAACACCTTATTGTATATTCTTATTTTTCAATTAATCAAAGGTCTTTTAAACAACAAGTTAATTCTACCCCTTTTAATGGGTGGTATACTCTTCAAGCAATTTTTCTCTGTAAGATAGAAAACCTCAATGGACTCTGATGAGTCAAAATATTTCCCTGCTCCTCCTACCAAAATCCGGCATGGAAATTTGTTCTCAAAAACAAATGAAGTAAACTTTTCTGTTTTAATTTATATAATGATAGAAACCTGAACGTTAATCTATAATATGCTAATAAAGCACAGATGACTTCAATATCCCTGGAAATTCACAGGGCGAGCCAAGAAGGCAATTCCTCCAGGGTACCTCAGACCTCTTTATATGAATCGTAAACATGCCTCTATTACAGTTTGAAGTCTGAAATAGCAATATTTCCTCTGCTCAGAGAAAGGTGAACCTATAGCAACATTGTTATTCTCTCATTCTCTTTTCCCCTTCTGAAATCTTATTATCTTAGTTATCTTTTCAACTCCAGTTTTCCTAGAGCTCAAAAATGTTTTTCAAGATTTTTTGCAAATTCCTCACTCTTTTTGTTAGACAACATGCTATACCTGCAATCAACTGGAGCTCACATAAGCAGGGGCAACTAAGTAAAGCAAAAGGAAAAAAAAAAGGAAAGGAAGCAAATAAAGATAAATTGACACATACATGCCAAAGATGAATGTATAATAATGCAATTACATTATTTAGCTTAGCATTGTCTCTGGAGTATATGTAGGTTGTTTTTTTTTTTTTTTCAGTAAGAATGGATGATCATACTTTTCTGTGCCCTGTGATTGCAGAGGACGATGATTCTCTAGGACTTGATAAAATTAAGTGCTATTCCTCAAGGCTAAAAACTAGCAATTATTGCTACGAGTCTTTACAACATACCGACTATTATCTCCTTCATAGATCAGATGATAAAATACTGTTGTTTCCACAATGGCAATAGTTTTGGGACACAATACTCAAAAGAATCCGTAAGGAAAATGTGTGACACTCGTAAACCTCCATCTCCTCAAAGGTCAGCCCAATTGTTTTACACCTGCCCTTTGTTAGCAGGCCCTGGACCACTTACGCATGTGCATTCCAGTCTGGAGTATCTGGATACAAACTCTATGGAGATCGGCTACAGGATTTTCATGCTAGGTCAGCTTCTCCACTACCTCCCAACACACACATGGGCCACTTCACTCTGCTGCCTAGTTACTGCCAACTTAAAGAATGCAAGTTAATATAATTCTAATATAGGCAGTTTCCTATTTACAAAATAGACATATTCCAAGGTCATTGTTTAGTTGAAACTCAGGATAAATTATCTTATAGAAACAATATCATAAATTAAATAAATGGTGGATAGGTTCATAGCTTTGTCTAGATATGTTTATATTTAACCTATGCAGCTCCTGAACTAACAGAGAACTATTTTGACTATACCCAGTCATCATTTCTGAGGGAAGATGTATGTGCAATTTCAATTTGAGACTCTGTGTCTTCCAGCCATGGCAATAGGAATTGTGTCCCCAAAACTCAAGCAGCTGGAATAGTCAGAGGTAGGGTGACAGTAGAAGGGAAACTATGATAAGAGCTGCAGCCACAATAAGGACTTCATCATGGGGGTGGGCTGGGGGCACAGGACTCTGAGTGTGAGGACAAGGTTGGTACACTTTCAAGACTGGAGGCACAACACTTTAAAAAACAATAGTGAAAATCACATTTGCTGGTCAGCCTTTCAAGGGCACCGTGGGTACACATGTGAGCCATTTTCAGAATGAGTTTTGAGATAGAAACTTCCCTGATAGTCTAAGTTTCAAGTCTATTAGTAGGAAATTATTAATTGTAGAGAGAATTGTATATAAATTGTCAAAACTAGCTAAAGTGACTACAATTTATAGAGAATTGGATATTCGGTAAATCCAGAAGGTCTGGCTAGCATCATACATATTGTGATCCATCCAACCGTGAAAATAGCTTTAAACACCAGCCCAGCTGGTTCTGCACCAAGTGAGAGTAGGGCAGGCAGCACAACTTTGGATCCCTATGAGGAAGGTTGCTTCTGCAATCTAAGCCCGTGTACTGGGAGTGATCAACATTTGGTGAAATAAATCCTCTGTGGGCCCTGCAGGACTCCCACAGTGGCCCTCTCCTTTTCAGCCAGAAAGAGACCAGAAAAGGGGATGTTTGCCTGAATATAAGGGCATAGGTTTGACAAAGGGCACATGAGGCTAAGACTCACAGAACACAACCAATGCAACCCTAACCAGTAAGAAAGAAGTATCAGGAATCTAAGGGAAAATGGCAGTAACTTTTTCATTTTACTTAATAAGTATTTAAGTACATGTTTTCCATTCTAAAAGGAATTAATTCCTCAGCCAGAAGTTGAAAGGTACCCTCTAAAGAAATGCAAACCTAAAATAGTATATACATTTACACTAGAAAAATCTCTAAATATGTTCCTCAAATGTTGAGCCTACCTTTCCAAAATAAGATTGAAATGTGAGAACTGTAGCTACATTACCAATAATCAATGCAGAATTGCTAGAGAATATACTTTAAGTTCATATGGCAAGCACACTTTTCTTAGCAATTTTATCAATAGCTTTAAAATCAGCAATCCAATGCTATGGAAAAAACTCGGTGCATTGTGATGTATTTATTTCATTATTTTAAAAAGTAGTGTTTTTAATTTCTCATTTCTCAGTCAGGACCAAGCAGTGTTTTCTAGTAAATGATCCTCACTATCTAAGAGTCTGGCAGCACCTCTTAGACAAAATATACTGTAGGTTTTAATTAAGCATTTTTTAAAAGCTATTTTCCAATACTGCCAATAAAATGTCTGGGCTATTTTTACATACTCTTAAAGCCTTAAAAACAGTGCTAAATCAAAATGAACTTAATTTTAAACAGGGATTTTTATGTCCCAAGGAGACAGTTTGATTTTCAAGGCTTCTAAAATCTACTTGCCTAACTGCCAAAAGCAAGTTTACTTTTTAAACCAATGAAGAACATCTATTGCTACACTGCTTATTCTTCTACCTGTCTTACTTTATCCTGTTTTGCCTACTGTGCTGGTTTAGTTAGAATATGAAATTTTATAATGAGGGAAGAAATTAAATGAAAAGACTTTTTGCTATAACTCTAAAATGTCAATGGGTTATTAGGAAGATCAAACAAATCTAACTTCAGTTAAATAAATGATCATTAATGGAAATTTACTGAATGCACCCTCAAATCCTTTCTTTCCTTTCAATGTTTCTGTGAGATCTAGACACACACACTATTTGTGTTTGGGTAATAAAGATTAACCAACTCCTCCCCAGATCAGATGTAAAGATTCAATTCCAGCAAAGGTCAAATTCTTTTATTCTAAGAACCAGGGCAAACAGTTCAATGTAATAAAATTACCCAAGTCCTGGCAGATAGTCCGTAGTTATAATGCTCTGAATGAATTACTTACAACGAAATTTGCTACTATCAAATGAAAGCAAACTTGTAATTTATTCCTAATCATTATCCATGTAATACTCTGTTATCAATGGGAAAATAACAGACTAAACACCCGATTAAAGAGAGATTTCATGTTGGGTAGAGCACTGGACTTGAAATCAGATGTATGAGTTAGATTTTCAGCTCTGCCACTTACCTGTTTGATCACAGGAAAATTCTCAACATGGGCTTCATTTCCAATACTTACCGTCCATCAGTAAAATAATGAATGTGAATGTGCTTTGCAAACTATAAGGCAATCTGCAACTGGAAAGCATTTCCTCAATCAACAATTTGTTACATTTCAACAATTTAACAACAGACCCTTTTAAATCACATAAACTATTCCTTAGGTCTCCCTATGCTGGTCAGCCACATCTATTCCCACAGGAAATTTTTTTTGTCCTTCTGAGAAGCCTGAGTTTGTTCCCAAAACAGGGGATTAGGGAGAGGAAAAGAAAATAAGAGATCTTGTTTGAATTTTTATATATGTGTGATATTCTGGTGTGCTTAATTAAAGTTCTGGTCCTTGTTTAAAGTAGGTATATTGCCGGTAGTTGAAATTTTTGCCCTGAAAGCATCACTCTTAAAATACAATGAATGCAAATGAATAATGATTGTGAACAACTTTAGTTAACTTTAATTAAGTGAGGTCCTCTTTAATTGTTATAGGTCAAATACCTCATTAGTCCAAACACTGTCCAATTTTGAGGGATTGAATGTCACCTAAAATAAGTAATCCATCAATGATAGCTGGGAAATTTCTGCTATATGGAAATCTTATTCTAATAAATTATAATAAGTAAGTTCAATACAATAAAAACAATGTGTTCCTAGTGCCTATAACTGATAGCAACAAGTTTGGCAGTAGTACACTCAAAAGAAACATAAGATTCCTTCATGGTGATAAAAGTGTCTAACACTGCAAAAATTAATTACTACAGATTTTTTTTTTTGCTTTTTAATACCAAGTGCTATCATAATATTACTAATTTAGCTGACTGATTCTCTCACCCCTCCTAAAGCTGCCTTTTTATATCCTCCTATCTCGTGAATAAAAAACAGGAAATTTTTCACCTCAAGTCATTTTGAACTATGAATTCTACATTAAGTAAGGTAGAAAAAGAAGCAAATAGTCATACACACGTTAACAGTCAAGCTGAACCTGTGTGTTTAAAATGTGAAGACTTCATCTTCAATAAATGATTAAAAATTATTTCATTTATTAATAAAGTCATGTTTAAGGTTGTACTTCTGTGTCTCTTTCTAATCAGCTTGCGTAAATTCCCTTAAAGTACTTATATGCAATGTGACTGTAGGTAAATGAGATCATTTATTAATTTTGTGTTACATGAGAAAAGCTGTCTCACAGATTTATAATCTCACTTCACTTAAATGGTAATCTATAAACAACAATATAAACTATTTTAAATGGAAGTAAAGACTAACTGAAAAGTGAGATTTTCAGATGGAGAATTTTAATTTAGGTTTGTGTTTCTAAATGTAATAATAACAGTAGCAACAATAACAATGGTAATAGCTGTAAAACAATTCATATACAGCACTTGCTATGTGCCAGGCACTGTTCTAAGCACTTCCTATCAATTAAAATGGCTTTTTGAAATACGTAACTTCTAATAAAGATGGTATTTTTTCCTCTGTCAAAGCATTATGTTTTTGTTTCCTAACATGATTTTTTTTGTCTTAATGTTAGATAGGAAGATAAGGAGAGATGAGAAATGGGTGAAAATTATTCTGCAGCTTTACAATAAAAAAAAAAAAAAGGATCAGAATCATTCAGCTTGTTCTTAACACTTCACAGACAACATTCTACCATACATTTTACATTAGAATGCCAACCAAAGTCATTTCCTAAAATGGGTTGTTTCACCACCACCACCACCACCACCTCCCCCCAACCCCCACCATTCCTTTCTTGTATTTCAGCAAATTATGTGCAGGAATCACTCTCAAGACCAATTATTTTGCAAGAAACTAAATCAGTTTAAACTGTTGAAATTTCACTTCAGTATTAATCCAATGACACTAAAAATATCTTACATATGTAAAGTGCTTTAACATTCCAAAGTGCTTCCACATTGATTTTCTTATTTCAACCTAAGCGCCTGACTCCCTGTGAGATATAGCTTCCTTGCTGTAGTCTTTCAATAAAGCTAGGAATTTCCTCAATAAACAATGCATTTACAGAATGTTAAATCTCCAAAATAGCTACAAAGTCATAAATCAGTAATTTATGCTAAGATAATGATCATTGCATCTAGATAATCCTTGGGAAGTCAGAATTTATTTAAGAAACAATAAGATTTCACTATTTTACATCTTTAAGAAAGATCAGGGTATTTGAAAGTATAGATAAACTTCTATGAAAACTGGTCCTTTTGTATTACAGGGACACAGGCAGCTATGTATCGGCTACATCAAAATTATAAATGGTGTCTTCAACAGTTAGGCTCAAACAATAGCTTGAGATCAATTTTCAGGTATATTCTACAGAATTAAATAGATCTATTCTTGAAAAGCTTATTGTGGATTAAAGTCTTGGAAATGAAATTATATATTTTAAATGTATGATTATGGTAGCAGTGGTGATCGTGTGTGTGTCCGTGTGTGTGTGTTGGGAGGGGACTCACAGTTTAAAAGAGGTCTGAATTGAATCCTTTGGCAAGCCAAAGCATCCTTTTGTTGTTTTAATGATCACTCTTTAATGTGTCCGTGCAGCAAATGTGAGTTTTTGTATGGCAAGTTTTCTATAGCAGGGAGAGAAAGGGGAGGTGGGGGGGGCTACACCTGCACTAAATAGGGAGCTTGTTAGGTGACTGTTGTGATCAGTCCTCAACTTGTTCTGCCTGATCAAGCACAGTGGGCAGAGATCCAATCACAAAAGCATTCCACAAAGCAAGCAAAGCAAAAATCTTCACTAAACTGACTACTGGAATGAAAACTGCTGGGGTCCATCCCTTCCTTCACTGGGAAAAAAGCATATTCAAGTAAAGAGGGAAGGCAGTTGAGACTATGGAGACATCATCTTTTGCAATCATCTCCTGAAAATGTCTCAAGACACACTGATGACAACATTGCACAATGTTGTACACAGTAGAATTACTCTAAGTCTTGTTTCCAAGTCTGACAGTTTCTACTCTTCCTGACTTCTTCCTTTGGAAAAGTAGCCCTTTAAAAACTTCTACCATTCCAGGGTAAGCTGCCCCTGGGGTCAGGTCTTCCTCCAGCCTTATCTTGCTTTCCTTGATTTCCCATAAGATATACGAATTAAATGTTTTAACTGCTTTTTAAGCCTTTGAAATAAAATTCATATCCATTATCAAGTTGTCACCACACCCTCTTCTGGAAGGGTGGGGGGTCAAAAGAAGAAAATGAGGCACAGCAAATGTGACTTGCCTGTCATTATTAGTGACAGAGAAAAGGAACACTCAAGGTTTCTGGAATTTATCCTGTGTAAAAACAAAAAGAAAATCAACACACAAACACATTCCAGAGCCAAATACTGTCTTCTTTTAATCACTTGCTGTTTTGGATTATTTATGTTTTGTTCCTCCCAGACATTCACGTTAACAATTGAGATTTAACTTTCTTGGTAAACTACAGCAAACTAGCATAACAATGACTGCTCTTTAAAAAGTAACTTTCAAAGGAGAAAATTATGCTCCCCAAACATAAATAGTTGATTGTTCTTGCTTAATAGTCTGTGTTCTCATTAAATCCCTACACTTAAATATGGGCATTTGCAGAAAAGCAGCTATTAGTTGTTGATTTGAAAATTAGTTGGTGGAACCCAATTTATGATATCCTGCTTTACATTATCTTTAAATGATGAGGAAGGCTGTTTAAAAGTATCCTTATGCTGTATGTCTGCGGTTTAGCTACCCCTAAAAAGTAGAACCAATGTTTAAAGGATAATCAGTTCTGTCCAAAGAAATTGATTAGATAAAAACTTAAATGTTTGCAAAGATCAAAAAGGCATTGTGTGAATAATTAAAACTGAATTCTATCCTCCATGTCGAATAGCACCAATTAATGAAATAGTATCCCTAACACTGTAGACTGTAGCGCATCGATTCATTAAACAACAACCATTCACTTCAGGGAAATTAATTATAAATTTACCGACCTCTTTTGGGAGAGTCGAACTGGTTGTCAGGTCTGGCAAAATCCATTCTCACGTAAGTGTCGTCGTCGTTGTCAGAATCGTCTGTCTCCTGGGGTCTCGGCACCCGGCGACTGCGAGGTGGGGGTTCGGGAGCGGCAGCTGCAGCGGCAGCCCCGCCAGCCCGGTTCTCACCTCTGGGAAGGTTTGCAGATGGGTTGTGGGCTCCAGGGTTCGAGCCACCGGCATTGTCTTGGGCCCCCCTTAGGCCTTCGACACCAGTTGCATTAGCAACAGGTTGAAACCAGCGGACGGAGGCGGAGTCAAATCCAGCAGCGACGGCTGCTGCGCCGATGCCCGGGGCCGCGGCGAGCGTTGAGGCCGCAGCTACAACTTGGCGGACAGCTAAAGTAGGTGCTGCCGCTGAAGCAACAGCCGGGACATAGGATGGGGAAAGGTCTCTCTCGAGGCTGTCTGTTGGAAAAGCCGAGACAGCGGCTCTAGCTGCTGCAAAGAAACTTTGAGAACGGCTTTGTGGGCGTCTTCCCTCCTGCTCTTCCTCCTGCAGCAGCCTAGCAACAGGTGGTGGTTCTGAACATCGGCTGGGGGAGAGAGATATATCCATACAGCACTCAGAAAATGGGTCGACCACATAGATTCGACCTGTTTCAGCATCATAGCGAATGGCACTGTCAGCAAAAGGCAAGGCTGGTGTCACTGCTGAGTTGAAAATTACTTCAATGTAGTCACCCTCTTCCTCATTAGCATTGCTACCTGTAGCACTGAGGGGAAGAGGAGGAAGTGGCCACCTAGCACTGTCCAGCGATAGGGGGTTGGCACGTGGTATAGCTCTTAAAAGATCTGAGAAGTCACTTGCTGGGTTTGGAAATGGCACTCTAAACTCAACATTCACATAATTATGAAAGGCTGGCTGTCTGGGGTCAGCAATTATACCCCAAGAATCTGATAGTCCTTGAGTAGAGGGAGCTGGTGTATTGCTCTCTCTTTTAGTGAAGTCAATGTTGACATAGTCACTAGAGCTGTCAGCTTCTCTCTGCTCATGTGTGGGCTCTTGTTGTTTTGGCTTGATTTTATATTCTTGTGTAGTAAAAGAAAGTCTGTTAGGTCTCAGAGCCTTATCCTTTGGGGGCCCATCATCTGAAGGCTTTGAAAGTGATCCCCCATTTCCAGGCTTTGAGAATGATCCCTCACCTGAAGGCTTTGAAGATACATCTTTGGGGCCCCAGTTATAGGAGACTTCTTTGTCTAGGCCCCTCCCCAGGAACTTTCCAGGTAACATTGGTACATACTCACTGTGGTCACTCTGTCCCAAAGGTGAGCTCCGAAAAGGGTTTGGTAGAGAGAAGTAGGAGCTCCAACTTTTGGAGGAAGAGCCACCCTGAGGATTTCTGGGGTTTTTTGGAATTGCACCGGCTCCAGGAGCCATGAACATGTAGTCACTCTCACTGTCATTGTCCTTTGAGTCATCCCCTTTATTAGGATCCGGTGCAGGACTTGGAGCAGGTGGTGGGCTCACTCTGGGAAACATCATCATGTACCCTCTTGAATCTTCAAAAGGGGATCGAGAGTGGCGCTTTTTTGAAGCAGAGATATTTTGAGGAGCCATTGGCATATAATCACTGGAGCTGACAAGAGGGGCAGCCACCCCTGGCCTCATTGGCACGTATGGGTCATCCTCATCTTCATCAAAAGCTCTGGCTCTGTGGCGGCCACGAGCTGCACCTTCTGGGATCTCTGCATCTTTAACTTCTTTGGCTTCTTTGCGTTCTTTTGTGGCTCCTCTGTCAGCACAAAAATAAAGTCGGAATCTTCCCCCAGACTTCGCTTTTCCACCAGTTGCTCCAGCTGGTGGGGGGGGAGGAGGAGGTGGTGGAGGTGGTGGCATTTGCTTGCTTTGGGTTAATTTGCCAAAATAGGATCTTTTCTTCAGAGATTTTCCACGTTCATCATCACCATCAGATCCTTTCCCACTTCCTGCACCTTTACCCCCTCCAGAGTTCTTGCCACCACCTGCGCCATAACCATCTCCAGGTCCCTGGCCACCACCTGAGTCATGCCCACCTCCAGGTCTCTGTCCACCACCTGAACCGTTCCCACCTGCGGTGCCCTGGCCATCTCCAGAGCACTGGTTACCTCCTGAGCCCTGGCCACTTGAGCCCTGGCCACCACTAGAACCCTGGCCACCTCGGGATCCCTGTCCCTCACCTGAGCACTGGTTTCCTCCCGAGCTATGGCTACTGGAGCCTTGGCCACTTGAGCCCTGGCCACCTCCTGAGCCCCGGCCATTTCCTGACCCCCAATTGTTCATGGGCATGTAGTCGCCTCCACTTCCTTCCTGATCTTCTTTGCTCTGGGGATTGCGTTCCTCCCCAGAGTTGCCAGAGCCAGATCCAGACACTTCAGAAGACAGGCAAGCTCCATTGTTCGGGGCTCTTGCAGGGTGCGGGGGACGTGCTGGGCTGTGTGCTAAGCGGCGAAAAAAGCTGGCTGGCACTGAAATAGCTCTCCTTGACCTGCACCCTCTGGGTAGGTGCAGTCTTTCTCGCCTGGAGTCGGGCACAGGCTCGCTGGGTGTTATGAAGCGCCTGGTGAAAAGCATCTCGTCTTCCCCGTCGCCGATGGCCCTGAGGTGGCAAAACTGCTCAAAGCGGGACCTTCTGAGCCAGCCTCCCGGCTCTATCGGCAGCAAGCCCAGGTGCCTCCTAGCGGACAGCAGGGTTAACAGGTGGGCGCCGATGCTGATGCTGTAGCTGCGGCAGCGGGCTCTGTATTCGTCTGCACATAGGGCTCTCATCTTCTCCAAAAACAGCTCGTGCATGTTTTGGGCAACCACACAGTCATCGACCTGCATCCAGAGCTCTCCTGGACCGATGACGGTGGACCTGCCTACTTCCAAGAAGAAATACTGCTCCGAGTGTCCACAGCGACGGATGCTCAGGAGCTGGACAACCACGCTAGCCACTTCAGTGTTCAGCCTCACAAACACGACCTCCTCGTCGGTTAGACACAGCCGGAACACGCCGCTCAGCTCTTTTCTGTGCCCCAGCCCCCTGGGTTTGACTATTACCTGCCACACATCTTTATAGAAGCGTGGCTCCGCCGCCGCTGCCGCCGCCAGCGCGCCCGGCTCTCCGTCCGGCTGCGCGCCTAGCGTGCCGCAGCGGCGGCGCTTGCTCTCGAGGATGAGGCGGCTGAGCAGCAAGTACCAGCTTTCCTGCTCCGACTCGTTCTCGGCCACCATCGCGAAGTACTCGTCCTGGGTGAAAAGGGCAATGAGGTGTCGGTACCTTGCATCTGCTCGCTGGCTCACGGAAAAGCACTGGTATAGGGTGATCACGCGCCGCGGTGGAATGAGCGCGGGGATCGCGGCGCCAGAGGCGGCCGCCGCTGCTGCAGCCGCCGCGGCTCGGACACTGTGCCGGAACTTCCTGGCATTTTCGTAGTATTCCAGCCGAGCTGGGGCATCAGCAGTCTCGAGTTTGAGCACGAAGTAGCGTCTGTGCCCATGCTTCTGTTTCCGCAGGTAGCCGCGTTTGCAGACTTCCTCCCCGACGGGGAGGTCCTCCTCCTCGGACTCGGAGTCTGACCGGGAGCCAGTGGCCGTGGAAGGCCACATGGCTCCCGGACAAGACGACCCGGTCCCAATGAGTGCGGTCGGGGTTCGCGAGGAAAGAAGCGGGGTGGTCGCCACCGCTGCTAGAGCTGCCGCTGCTGCCGCTGCTGCACCTCTCAGTCTCCTTGTCGCTTGGTCGCTAGTGAAGGAGCAGCTCGCCATGGTGATGCACGATGGTTTTAAGGTGAGCGAGGAGGAGGGGAAATTCGGGAAAGGGAGGGCTGGGGAAAGAGGCCGTCTACCCCCGTCTGCCCGCTCCAGCCCCCTCCTGCCTCGGCCCGCGCCCCCGCCCACTCCACTCGGAGCGCGCGGCAGCCGGCAAAACAACACGTGACTGCCGCCTCACGCGGCGGCCGCTGCGGATCCTGCTACCGGCGCAACGGAGGGGCGCGAGCGGCCACCAGTAGAGGTGTGCAAGGGAGGAGGCGGCGAGCCCCGGAGGCGGAGCCACCTCCAGCTGTGCCAACACCCTCCGGGTGAATCTCCAGACCTGTGAGCCAAGGGAGGACCGGAAGGAGGAGGCGGGGCTCTCTGGCCAAGCTGATTCTAACCAGGAGTCCAGGAAGGCAAGAGGGGGCGGGAGAAAGCCTGGAGGGGTGCAGGAGAAAGCGGCCGACTGTCTGGGCCAGGAGAGGGCGCCACTGTCGGGGCTCCATGGGCTGGAAGAAGCGAGGTGGTGGGAGGGGGAGGAACTCAAGCATTGCTGGCGGCGCCAGGGTAGAGCTGCCAACTCCGCGGGACGGTTTGTTTGTTTATTTGGGAAGCCGGAGCCAGGTGAAACTGTTGCAAGGCTCTGATTGGTTGGGATAGAGGCCAATGGGAGGGTCCGGCAAGTAGGCAGCCCCGAATTCATTAGTTTGGCGGGAGGGAGGGGTGAGAGGGGCGAGGGGGCGTGGCTGGGGTCCCAAAGTGGCTTCGCCGTAGGCTTGTGGAGCTCTGGCGGTAAACAACCTTCCGTAAGTAGCTGTTAATGGTGGTAGTAAACTCGTGCAAATCCCAGAGCCCTGGTGACCCGGGGACAGAGTCTGGTGCCCTATTACTCCCTGTCAATCACATGAATTCTCTGTTCCTGTCACAGTCTGGTTCATTCTTTCCAGCCGCTCACGGCGGTGCATCTAGCCTCTTGGGAGAAAGTGTCGGCACCCCCTGAAAACTGGTTGACGACCGGGGCGTTCAGACCTGCTTCCCACCGCGCTGCAGGCACTCCGGAGCCAACTCCACCCCTGACAGAAGCCCGCCACTGTAAGGCACACGAGTAACAGCGATGACTTCAAAATGAACATGATCTTTATTAATCAGAATGCACTGCTAGCCCACAAAACACAGGTTCCCTAAATACAGTGTCTTTGCCTACGTATTTGATTAACGATGACTATGAAAGCACAAATTTGGGGGCCTGCAATGTATACAGCCATATTGGGAAAAAAATTGGACTCGATTCTTACTGCAATAATCAGTGTTGGAGCTGTGAAAGTATTTTTTCAAAATGCTTTGGAAGGTGCCTTTAAAAGAATCTCAAAATATTGCTTTCCTTTCCTTGAGCGAGACCGAAAAACTTTAGAAAAAGAAAAGCTCCTGCCTAGAACAAAGGACCACGCTGAATATATTTTCTACAGCATATTTCACATCCCTCACATCAAGAAGAAGAGGAGCTTTGATGCATTTCAGTCTACAAGTCGACATCACAAAAGTAAGAACTAATGCCTCCCTCGTTTCTGGAAAAACTGCCGAAGTGTAAGTGCAACCTCTTGAAGTTTCTCTCTCTCTCTCTCTCTCTCTCTCTCTCTCGCTCTCGCTCTCGCTCTCGCTCTCGCTCTTTCTCTCTCTGAATCGCACCACCCCAGTTAGTCCTTGACTAGAATTTTAGACTCTTAATGGTGGAGATGGGAGTGACCACGTTTGCAAAGAGGAATGGAGGGAGAGGAGGAGAGAAATACAGCATTTCTCTTAGAAAGAATGGAATGTCAGTTCCCCTTGCTCTAGGGTTGATATGGCAAAGGGTATTATTTATAAAATCCAACAGTAAACTAGGTAATGTATATATCATAAAAATAAACCATATCTCTGCCCTCTTAAGAATTTGCTCTCTGTTAGAAACAGAACACACGTATTTGAATAAATGGCTCCTTTTGATGCTATAATTTAAGACAAAAACAAACTGGTTTTGGTTGTTCCCTAGATATTACGAACATTTAATAACATTCCCTCTTCTGCCAATAGTTTATAAGTGCAATATATTCACAGGTGCTGGAAGCAGCCGTGGTTTCCGAAAGGAGCTAGAGGCAGAACGAGTGTGGATGCTGAGAGAGCCCTGACTGGGACTGCTACATATTTCGACTGCGTAGTCACATATGTACAAGATTCCCTGCACTTATAACCAAAATGATAACGAATGCTCTCATTTGGGATAATTTTTTGTTAGGCATTAGGATATTTTATAAGTCTTTCAAAGCACAAGGTGTGTGTGTGTGTGTGTGTGTGTGTGTGTGTGCGCGCGTGTGTGTTTTAAAGAGAAATGTGGCAAATAAGGTAACACATTTGAAAGTGCTTTGAGTAATAACATGACATTGAAAATATCAAAATGGTTATTAAATGAAATGGGAAAATACTGGAGATTTTTTAAATCTTCATGTCTTTTTCCTGTACATACAGAGTTTTTACATAGAGCAGTAGGTTTACAATGTATATAATTTTGCATCTTATTCTTTTCACTTAGCATTATAAAATATTTCACCATATTATTATCCATCAACCTAAACATCATTTAAAATGCAGCATAATATCCAACACAATTAATGTATATTAATGTACTTAATCATGTGCTTTGGGACATTTAGGTTGTTTTCATTTTTTTGAGTATTATAAATAACACGACAATGAATATCTTGTACCTACAGCCTTTTAAAATTCCATAACGTGTCAATGAATACCTTGTACCTACAGTCTTTTAAAATTCCCATTGGGTAAAAACTGAGCACTGGAATTAGTGGACTAAAAGGTATGAATATTTAATACATTATTTTTCAAAAATATTATATTAGTTTACCCTGTCACCACACTGATTGTCAGCATTGGGCATTCTTATTTTTAAAAAATCAGTGATAAGATGGGTGAAATGGTATTCCACTATTCTTTTTTTTTTTTTTTTTTTGAAACGTAGCCTCACACTGTCATCCGGGCTAGAATGCTATGGCACAGTCTCAGCTCACTGCATCCTTCGTCTCCCATTTTGAAATGTTTCTCCTGCCTCAGCCTCCCAGTAGCTGGGATTACAGCCACCATGCCCAGATATTTTTGTATTTTTAGTAGAGACAAGTTTCACCATGTTGGCCAGGCTGGTCTTGAACTCCTGACCTCATGACCCATCTGCCTCAGCCTGCCAAAGTGCTGGAATTACAGGCGTGAGCCACCTTGCCCGGCCTCCACTGTTCTTTTAATGTGCTTTTTTTTTTTTTTTTTAACTAGTGAGATAAAACATTTATATTTATTTACTGACATTATATTATTTCCTGTAAAGTGTCCTTTGTGTTGTCTATTGTATTCTTAGTATTTTCTTCTTATGTGTAACTTGTTTACATAATAAATATATTAAAATTTTGTTTTATTTGTTGCAAGTTTTTTTCCCCACTCTGTTGATTTAAAAAGTCACATTTAACCTGATTCTTTTCTATTTTGAAAGAGATGTAAGTTTGGCACAATGTGGTTTGTAGCACAGTTTGAAAGGAAGCTGTTGATACACACAAATATCACCATGGTCACTTCTAAAATTCTTTTAAAAGGTCTCATATATTTCAGCTTATATGCTCTTTTAAAAGGAGAAATAAGTTTCTTGTTAATAAATTATAAGAGAGCATCTAAACTAGTTAAATTTTATTTATTACTCTAAAATAATACTTTATGAGACATTTTCTATTTTAGGGGGAAAAATCTAGCATTAATCAATGTATTAAAAAAAGAGGTATGAAAATAATTTCTAAACTATTACACTGAAAGATGAACAGTGATGATCACTTTGTATCCAAGGTATATTATTTGGCTGCAGCAAAGTGGAATTAGAGCTATAGTGAGATGCTTCATGAAGGAATTTTACTTTGTATGTTTCCTACAGTGGCAGATAATCTGGCAAGTATGAGTACTTGTAAACAGGGAGAATGTCTGACTAGAACATTATTTTCTTCCTATAGGTCAACCAAATCTTCTCAGTCCTAAAGTTGTCTCAATACTGAAGTTCTATGGAGCAGATCATCATTACTGAATTGTACCAGATATAGAGCTTGTCTGACATATATTTACATTTTCATTTTCCTGGACAACTTAATGATATAGAATAGTAGTTCAGTTTAGGTCAAGTTCTCATAGGCAAAATAAAACAGATATCTAGATGGTTTAGGCAAAATGCAGAGAATTTTTATTTGGCTTGAACTGACCAGATGGTGGCTTTAATGCTCTACCCTCTTTTGGTTATAGATTCTTGTCTTTTAATTTTTTTGTTTTCATTTTAGGATAGTTTATCCCAGAAGGCTAAAGTTGTTTTGCATATTTAGTTATTACAACTGTAAAGTTTGGAATCTGCACAAAGAATCTGAAACACAGATTTTTAAAACAACAAATAATAAATACTAAAACTTAAACAATAGTTCTTGTTTTTGTTTGCCAATTCAATGGAAGGGATAAAAAACACAAACATTGTAACTGGCTTTTTACGGTTATAAACTAAGGTAAAAGGATTAATAGCCACAATATCTTTAAAACTGATTCCAGCTAATGAAGAAATATGCCTTTATGATATGTGCCTTTAAAGAAATTTCCAATGAATCCTGTTTTAAGAAAGCAGTTGTTTGAATTGACTTGTCAGTTATAACAAAAATTCATGTGCCTATTTTCTTACACACCTGATCACGAATATTCTAAACTCAACTTGTACTAAAATCAAAATGGGTAATTGAAGTGTGGATTTATTTACTTTAGAAACTAAACTGTTGTATTAAGTATGGACTACACTATTCAAGAGAATAAAACCTAAGAGGAAAAGTAACCAGTATAAAAAACTATTATTCTTGCCCCATGTTTAAATTATACTTCTAAGTATTAACTCTATAAACTTCATGAGCTAACGTCCAATTATGTTGATAAAAATGTGGTGCTACCCTTGATACTAAAAAATGATGTTAGTGATGATGATTGCTTTCTCTGTATTGGGACATAAATCGTGTACAATGAAAGATGTTTTCTACACTATGCAAGAATAAAGGCTACCCTGTGATTTGTGGCTACAGCCACTGTTTGCCGATGATGGCTTTGCTTCTCAGCTTCTTTACTTCTGTGCTACTCAAAACCTCTGCTGGAGAAAACAACGATCAAATTCCTGGCTGCTGCACACAGAACAGGTCTGTTTGCTGCTTTTGTTTCTTAGCAGTCTGCAGTGAAAGTAATTAGAGCAAATATGTGGTTTAATTAGGCTCCTAAAGCTTTTCTGTTATCATAAGAGTGAACTTAAAATTAACTTAGTTAAAAATCAAGCATTTCTTCCTACCTTCAAAAGATAAAAGTTTAATTTGGAAATAACTTTTACTAAGTAACCTAAACATCAGAACAATGAAGTCTGCTAGGTTTCACATAAATTTCAATGATTTAACATCATACATGTTCTCTATGCTAGTATAAATGAACATTAGAAAATTTAGCTTAATGATATCCTGTTCCTTATTAATATCACGTAGCAGCATTTTTCTTAGTGTCAAAAGATTATCAATTCATACTGCCTTGTCTTCAAAACTTAGAATCTTTATTTTTTAAATTAAATAGGATAATTACATAGTTAAATATATTATTTTAAAGGAGTATCATAGACTTGTTGTTTTTCTTTGGATATTTAGAAAGCCAGCTGTCATATTTAGGACAATATGTATTATGTTTTTTGTTGATTTCCCTCTTTCTACTCCTCATATGCTCCTGCAATATCTGTCAGTTTGAACCCTTTGTTTCACTTTCATAGTCACCATCCTTGTCCATGCCATAATTAACTACCAGAATTGGCAAAGTAGCTTCATAAACTGGCTTCTGCATTCTTAAGTCTCTTCTTCATATAGCCAGCAGAATATTTCCTTTCATATATTTCTTTCATTATACAATTCCCTGCTCAAGGACATAGAGAGGCTCCCCTCCCCCTTTCTCTGCTATATCAGAATTAAGCAACTAACACTGTTTCCCTGTTCTCCACTGACACCAGAACCAACCTCTTTTTTTCTCTTGCTATATACAATCTTTTCTTCCAAATTTGCCTCCCATTCTATTACAATACATTCTTGCTGCTCACACCTCCACATAGGTTGTTTTTTTATGGCATTCTGTATATGATTTATCAATTTTCACCTTTACTTAAGCTGTTTACCTCTTTGTCTTCATTACCAACTGATGCCAATTATCTTTCTCAAGACTAAGACCAAGACCCAGAAAAAGGTTTCCTCAGTCACATAATCCCACCGCCTAATCCCTTTAAGCATTGGATGTAGGTGGCACTAAGGATGTAGTTGGTATACATCCATACAGGCATATCATTGTTAAATGATAGTCATTGGTAAAATAACAAATACTTTTCTACCACTTACTAAATAGCTACTGCCCTGACACTGCTCCCTGCTGAGTAGTCCTCTTGCCCACCCATTGTCCTGGCTACTCCAACACCTCCCTTAGAACCTTCTATCTCTCCACTATCCAGCAGCTACAAGGTTAAATACTGGCACAATGAGGGGCTTCCAAGATCCCACACTTAAACTTTGACTGGAATACATTCTGATTGGTTGGCTTGTGCTACACGGGTTGTTAAATAGTTAAAATCACCATGCCTGGCTACAACTAATCCCATATAACCTAGAATAGAACACTATTCTAGGCTATATGATACCTGAGGACCAGGAATTAATCCTTGGTATAACAGTCTGTCAATTAAATTATCAGTGCATGTTTGCTTCAAGGAAGAAAGGAGAAAAGAAGAGTGGGATGGAGGGAAAGGGGAAGGAAGGGAAGGGGGTTAAAGGAAGGAAAGAAAAAAAGGAAGAAGGAAGGGAGGGAGGGACAAGGGAGAAGGGAAAGAGAACAACAGTGTTCAAGACTGGTCTAAAATGTCAATGCAGACTACCTCTTGCAACCGTGCCAAAACTCTCCATGACTGATGGCAAGGCTTGGTGACTTTTGCCCAACCTAACATCTCTTCTCCCTCAAAAATATATGCCCATTGTTTTCCTTATCTGTCACAGGTCAGCAAATCTTTTTCTCACAAATATTTCTTTCCCACAAATGTTTCAGTTGTTGTCAGAAACCTCAGGAAATGTCTGTACCCATAGATTTCCCCCTCCTGTCTTTGGTTCCATTTAAAAACAAAGGGAAATTTTCACCTTGATCATGTAAGGTTATAAGTATAAACTTAATATTGGTCTTAGGGTAATGGTGATGTTAAACCTCCATTAAGGAAAAGCACTTAGCAGTTCCTGATACCATTTTTTTCTTTCTCATACCCCCACTAGAACATAAGCTTCATATGTTCCCATATATTTGCCGTCTATAGTTACCTTGTATTCTCAATGCTAGGAACGTGCCTGACACATAGTAGATACTCTCAATAAATATATGTTGAAGGAGTGAATGAAAATGAAAAAAAATGTTTTGAAATAGAGATACCTCAATGATCACAAGTGGGCCTGAAAAGGATACCCTTAAGAATCTATACAGAAATCTTCACCTATCCATTTTAATTAAACATGCTGTTTCTCAATCATCAGCATTCAAAATATGTCCAGATATATTTTATAAGCCTGGTTTGTAATATTTTTGTTTTCCAATGTTTATCTAATTATAAGTATTGCAACACATTTTCTTTCTACTGTATTGTTATAGCAAATATGCAGACAGAATTTTCATATATTGTGAATTAAATGGGTTTCTTTTGGCAAATATATAAATCCAGTCGGCATTTATTCATAATGTTTCCGTTGGTAAACTGTGTTCTCAGTTTGAAGCAATCATTTTACAAACTGTTTTTGAAATATAACCATTTTAAGTTTCCTGAGTTTTTATATTCAGTCTTTGTTTTACTGTCAGATGATTGTTTATGAATTGTAAGTACTTTTCATTTGCCTCCTGAGTGGATGCTTTATCTTCTTGTGGCCAGGGATTGTATTCTTCTACTTTTGTTTTGTAAGCCCTCCTGAGGCCAGGGATTATATTTTTCTATTTTTGTTTGCCTCTTCATGGTGTCTACTACT